CCTTTTACTGCAGCCACACACACAAGACATATTGACTACAGGAGTCTGTGTGACAATGGGCATTGGATACACCAAATGTCGCCACAGAGGGGGGGGGGGGGTGCAATCGTATGGACAACCGCCACCAGAGGTGCGGAGCGAGTATTTTAGGAGGGGAGTACACTTTAGGAGGGGAGGGAGTCAGGATTTTATTTTATTTTTTTTCAATCAAGAAAGGTGAGTGAGTCAGGAATTCTTTATTTCACGTTTAAATAAAGCGTCTGACAGCATACTCACACTACCTTCTTCCCTCGATACAACGTACGGTCATTGTAGCTGTATTTGGGTTATCTTTCAGTCTAAACACAGCTATATCGATCGTATGTTGTATTCGGGGAAAGAAGGTAGGGCCTTCTCTACTGAGCGCTGGACGTGATCGCAGTCACATACATCCAGGTGAGGCTATAATTTTGGTCAGATACATCCGGGAAAGTCCTAGTTTGAGTGAGACACACATACGAACCTTTCTAGCCATCCTCCGAAATTTACAAGTGTCTTTTTAACTTTTTTCGTTCATAGTAACTTGGTGCTGTTTTCCTTCTACCCGTGCACCCTTGTCATCATCTAGTGCAAGCATACTCATCGCTATTTTTGTCCTCCTGAAAGTAGACGATCTCGAAATCACCACATAATCTTGAATCCAGGAGCCAGTAAATATCCTTAGCACACACTGTTCGAGTATTTTGTCGATAATCTGCGCTTCAGGAGTGAGTAGACGTCCTTGCATTTTGTCGGACTGGGCAGCGGCCATGGGCAACCTTTTCTAAAACCCTGTTGGGGTGCGTGTTGGGGGCCCTACGGGGGTCCTGTTGCGGACGATTGAAGAGGTGAAGAGACCCTGTTGGGGACCCTGTTGGAGGGCCTGTTGGGGGTCTGTTGAGGGCCCTATTGGGGGTCTGTTGAGGGCCCTATTGGGGGAAGAAATGGGCATGGTTTGGTAACCTATTCTAAAACCCTGTCGCGGGAACATTTAAGAGGTGAAGAGCCTGTTTGGGCCCTGTTGGCGTCCTGTCGAGTACCCTCTGTGGAGAAGAAATGGGCATGGTTCAGTAACCTATTGGGGCTCTGCTGAGGGAAGACTGAAGAGGTGAAGACCCTGTTGTACCCTTTTGGGGGAAGAAATGAGCATGGTTCAGTAACCTGTTCTAAAACCCTGTTGGGGCGCTGTTGGGGGCTGGGGGTCCTGTTGAGGGAAGATTGAAGAAGTGAAGGGCCTGTTGGGGCCTGTTGGGCGCCCTATTGGGGTAAGAAATGGGCATGGTTCGGCAACATATTCTAAGTCCCTGTTGGGGGTGCCATTGGGTGCCCGTTTGGGGAACTGTTGGGGCCCCTATTGGGGGAAGAAAAGGGCATGGTTCGCTAAACTATTCTGAAACCCTGTTGGAGACCCTGTTGAAGGCCGTGTTGCGGGAAGAAGTGGCCGTAGTCCCAAACCTATTCTAAACCCCTGTTGAAGACCCTTTTGGTGGAAGACTGTAGAAATGAAGACCCTAATGTTAACCGTCCTTCCTATTCCATGATTTCGGAGTGCTTCGTTAGACTAAGTAACCACCATGGAGTAGATTTCGTTCATTCCCATCATCTCGTCATCATCCTAATTAACGAATACCCAGAGGGATTTCGGCCAGGTAGGGTATTTTCTCTAATTAGACTGTCTGAGAGGGCCAAAAAAAAAAAAAAGGGGAGGAAGGGCTACCATCAAAGAGAACATAGGTCATTATATCCGTCTTTTGCCCAAATTTCAGTCCAGGTGCGGCGAACATGAAAATGACAGTACGTTCTGTTCGGGTGAAGACCGTAGGTTCATAATCCGTCTGTTAGGGAACTCTGGGGCCAATCAGCATTCTGCGCATCAATCCCATGGGATCAGCGTGCGCTGGGCAATCAGTGCTGGCAGCTCAGCTTATCCAAATTCAGGAGACCGAGCTCGGCAAAAATCTGTATCCCAGGAGCAGTGGCCCTAGCCCAGTCTCCATAAATTATTCAAATATGAGCCTTGGGCACTTGGAGTGGTTGGGGAAACACTTCGAGCGGTTGGGGAAACACTTCGAGCGGTTTTGGTGCCGGAGGAGGAGGGGGGAGGGAGGGGGGGGGGGGGGGGGGGAGGAAGGAAAGGTGCTACAAATCCTGAGGGAATAAGATGGATACAACAATGTCAGGAAAAAAAAAGAAGGTGCAGACGAATGACACCACTTGCATATACTTAAATGATTAAAAGAAGGGCCTAGTTGCACCACTTGCCATCCACCAACATTTTGAATGCATCTGGACAGATTCATGTTCAGATTCATTCAAAATGTTGACGGATGGCAAGTGGTGCAACTAGGCCGAAAAGCGGAAAAAGTCAATGTAACATCTGATCCGCAGTCCATCGCATAGGGTGGAAAACCAAAAAAAGACAACTTGAATAAATCCGAATAATGCCAACCCTCGTCCATACAATTTTTCTAATTAAGAATAGCCCACTCTTTTTTTTTCTCTTTTTTTTTTAACCAAAACTTAAAAAAAAAAGGAAAAAAAAGCAAGCAACAAAGTAACAAATCTGTCGTTACCTGTGTTATAAACCGGGCCTCCCGGGTCAGCTTGTTTGACCGGGCCGCCCAGCTGGGCAAGGACCAGGGAAGGTCCCTCTTAAAAGAAAAATTCAAAAAAATGCGGAAAAAAAATATGTTGTGCAGAAAAATAAACTGAACAGCTTCTGCCTCAGAGTACCGAAACTCTTCGCGAAAAAAAATAATAATAATAAACAAAAAATATTTAATTCATTTTTGGCCCGGCCGGGCAAGTGGTCCTGGGCCACTCTGATATCATAGGTTGTTATACACACAAAAAAAAAA